CCCCCCCCCCCCCCCCCCCCGGGTGACGAACGACGATGATCGGTTAGTTTACCGCGGCAACGCGCGCGTAACGGCTGCTGGAAACGCATCGGTGCGGCTCGCGTCGGATCATCCGGTGCCTCACCCCCGCGCCGGAGCTTGTCCAATCCGATTAAACGCGTTTCGCCGACGACGACAATGACGTGTCGTACGGCCGGCAACAACGACCCCATGTCGGCGGCGGCGGCGGGGCCAAAGCCCTTTTAGTCGCGCGCGATAAGTCATCCGGAGGATTAACACGCGAAGCTACACTGGCGGCCGTAAAATATAATAACCGAAAAAAACCGCGTTACCGTCCGATCTCCATCGACGATCGTTCATTTACACGCGAATAATGTTAATTACGGATTCGTTTTGTTGCGATTATTTGATATTTTATTTTTTATTTCCGTGCTTGCAGATGCAAGTTATGTGCCAGGAGTCGATTACCACGGAAGGCGGCGTGCTGGTGGGAAGCGGTGCCGGACCGACCGAGCTCTATCCTAACGGCGACGAAGGCGTCGAAGACGTCGGCAGGGAAAACGTGTTCGTGCTCAACGACACCAGGGAAGCGCTGTCTCACGACGGTAGCGAACACAATTCCGTAAGTTTATTAATAATACATGAGATATAGTAAAAATTATGCGGATCGATTGATCGAGCACTAACAAATGAACGCTGTACACGCGATCGGGGTTGAGGGTGGCTTCAGGAACTTGAAAGGAGGAAGGACCGTACCGTGCACGGTACAACTTTGATTGCAATTTAAGAAACCAACCCCTAACAAAGCCAATGCAACAAAATATGCTTTACGATTTACGTACAAATAAAGTGTTGCCTCGTTTATTTCCGTACATAATAACGAATGAATACTATTCGCCATACGCGTTTACATTAAATAATCAATCTATTTTTTTTTTCTTAATATTGAATAATACAGTGTTTCTCAAAAACAAAAACTTCAGGTTGTAGGATGGGAAAAGATTCAATTCCTGCACTGCGCACTATTTAAATTTAGTAAGCCCGCCTAAACATATCCTCAAAGTTTCACCAACCCCAAAAAGTCTAGAGCTTCACGGATCTTCTCGCAGCCATGTCGGTTGTAGTACACTTTCAGACACTTGGGTTTGATGTACTAACAGTAAAAACGACAACAACCGTATACATCCGTTTGTATGTGTTCGTCACTGATAAACAGCGAATAATTATGCTATAATATTGTTGTTTCCTGTTTCTTATTTGTAATTTCGTTATTTTTATTATTCTCAAACCTTAGTTATTTAAGTTGATCCTATGTAAACAATACTGTAATTATTTATTATCTTGTATTCATTAAGTATTATTAGTAAAAAGCCGACTGGCGTTAATTCTAATAAATAAAATATATTCTGCGCCATATGAAATTCGCACCACGCGCACATGCCAAACAATCGTGATAAATCATACGCATGGAGGAAATGACATAAAATCATCATATTGTTACACGTGCATCGATATTCATCCCCAATACCGACAAACTACATTATTGCTACACAACGTATCCGTTTCGGTTTCGCTGAACTATGTGCGCTTTTATTTATTTTATTTTTCCAAGGGTGAGGGGAACGGATATTGACTCCGAGCACATCCAGAAATTTCAAAATGTATATTATACACCGAAACCACTTCAATACGCGCATAATATTTTACGTTTCATGCACCCATCCCATGAATAAATTACGAGAATAAGTAATAATCTAAATGTATAGCGCGTGTAGAGCACTTTCGTTGCGTATAATTGAACGACCGATCGTATTAGGTTTATTATACATTGCAATATAAATTTTTTTTTTATCTCTTCGAACGGAAACAAATGTTTGTTCACCTGACTCATCTCGTTGCTCAAGCTATTGTTTGTACGCGTGTCGATATTATATAATGCCGTTTAAAGTATACGTACTCAAACGTACGGATTATTTTTCAATATTATTTTGTTTCGATCCACGCGTATTATACTAAAGTATTAAAATCGAACAAAATAAACGTTGTTTTATGCAGTTGACGCGCAATGTAATAATAATAACGTTTGCGCAACGATACGCTTGTTCCACGAAGAATAAATAACGCGAAATGCTTATTTACTCCCGTCGAACGCGGAATAAATACTGCGCAGTATTCATTTTCCGGGTACATTACAATAAGCTCTACGGGACGACCTGAAACGTTTAATCCGTAACGTGTGCTTTTTATTAGTTTTTATTATTTTTATCATCCAGTACATTTTCCCGCAATGTTGCGTCGCGGACATATCTCGTTCCGAATAAAAATAGTAATTATAACCTAGAACTAGGATTTCGATGTACTTTGCATTTCTTTCCGAAACTTGCTGTGCGGTGTTAACTGTCACGAATCGGTAGCGTGTACTTTTAAACGAGTATAAGAAACTGTATTTTTTATGTTACCATACCGTACGGTAGAACTCGAACAGCCACTCTCGAGGAACGATAAGCTTTGGTTATTTAACTTAATCGTCAATGTATGATTTATAATCACAGACAGACCGGTGTTTCGGGACAAATTATACGGAAATGATTAAAAAAAAACTTATTTTCGTCGTTTCGTACATCATTGTATTAAATCAGTCCACTTCCTTTCTTACCTAGCGTTGATGGTTAGTATTAACATAGCGCAATGATTCGTTAACGGACCGTTCCAACAACGCACGACCCGAGTGTTATTATAAAACCAAACTTGCACAAAAGTATACTAAGCCTAGCTCGGGACTGACAAAAAACCGTACACAGACCGTGTATACATTCGGCGGTTGTGATTGATCGGATTTTTGCCGTTCGGTCAAAACCGTATGATATGTAAAAAGCCACGCGGATGAATATAAGCTTTGGTTCTTTTTTTTCTTTCCTTTTAATCTGTCGTTCGTATTCGGTTCCGTGACGAAGACATTATATTATGGTGCGTTATCCCAATAAGGGCACTAGCGGATTCGGAATTCATTGGATTGATGGGGTACGGTGATGACGCGATGAAAAGGCTCGATGAAAAGCCGAATTTCGGTAACCCGACCCTATTGTACTGGTACTCGCCGTTGGAGACCTCTCGAGCTTGACCCGCACACGAGCAAATTATATATTATTGCATACGGCCCGTTTCAAGTATCGTAAAAGTAATAATAATAATGATAATATAACATGTAGAAATTAGCAGCAGCAGCAGCGGACGATCGATACAACCCCGATGGACTGAGCCCCATCGAAACGCGGCCCTTTGCCACTCGGGAATGCTACAACGTAATAACTAATAATAATAATAATCTTTGTTGTGCCGTGTGCGGTTCGTTCGGCGTACACCACTACACATTTGTACATTTATTTTATCATGCATAATGTATCGTGTACCAACATCATCATAATCGTGTGATCATGTTATTATTAAACATTGGTATACTAATAACCGTAAAAGCTACGCGTATTATTCTGAACGCAATATTCATGGCGAACAGTTTTCCGCTGTACGAATTTAGAATTTATTTACGTGTGTTTCGCGTACAAGTATTATATCAAATTTGCAAACACATAATATTATAATATCGTCATCATCCTTTACCGTTTTTATTCGGATTCGATAACGCCGCCGCCGTTGGATTATGCGTACCTACGCACACAAAGTCGGGTAAAAAACAAATTAAAATAATGAATAAAAAATCAAATCATGATTAAATAATTATTTTATTAAGAAATAAATAAAAAATAGTAGTAATTTGAAGAAAAAATAATAACAATTCTAAATGGTTTAATTAGTGAATATAATATTGAATTTCCGTTTGGTAAAACGTTAATAACAGTATTATGTCTATAACGTTAGTAATAATAATAAACAATAATTAGTGAACAATATGAAATTTATTTAATCATCCATAACTTTATAATTAATGTGACGCTCTTATAGAAACAATAAAAACATTATAATGAACTGTCAGTGTTGAAAAACCGAATCTGCTGCATAATGTTTCAAAATGAAAATAATCTGAGAACTGCTACGATTGTCAATTAATATTATCTGTTTATATTGAATACTGACTTATTGTGATATAGTTTCATCAATTTGTATAGGTCTTTATTTATAATAATAACAATAATGTGGCGTAGCATTATCGTAGCATTAAGTTGACGGTCAAACAAATAATGACGGAATGCAGAGCAAATTAAAAAAAAAAAAAAATTAAAAGAACATGAAATAGCCGAGAAATCTTTCGATACAATTGGTCCCGAATTCAAACCCGAAAGCATCATCAAATTTCTTAAGCGCATAGAAATATTTAAATAAATATAATTTTAATAATAGCAATTAGTCATAAGTATGCATACAAAGTATTTACGTTAAAAAAAAAAAAAAAACTATGCAAATCGGTCCAATATTACTTCAGATATAACTTGTCAAAAAAATCGCCTCTCCTTTTAATAATGCAATAGGTATGTGGAGCGTAAGGTAACGCTCGAAAATGTTCACGGCCCGAGCGGAAAAATCTGAACGCCGTATAAGACGTTTTCACATAATAAAAAAAAAACAAATGAATGACTTTAATTTCCAATAACCGCGTAATGTGTTATAAATATGGGATACATCGATTTAAATAAGCGTAAACTTTACGTTATTCCGAAATGTACAAGTTAAATATAATTGTACGGAATGACGAATAACGAATTACCAAAAAATGAATAAATTGTTTAGAATAATGAATAAAAAATCAAGAGCAAATAAAACGAAAAATAATCGAATGGTAATAGTTTATTCGAATAATGCCCAACTGTGGGTTTACATAAGAAGGCACGGTAATATTACGTTCGCTCCGTGGTTAGTCCTTCGAGCTTTGGTCACGGGCACCCTAATAGCTTGGGGAAGGAGACTCGTTTCCCGCATAAATCGAGTTATCTACAAGTATTGACATTGTAAAAATGCAGTTGGACGTTTTTTTTTTTTTTTGTAATTCATCATCGACGCGGTGCTGTTTACTTTCGTATTCAACCGACGAGTATTTTCAAAGAGTTGGTTAATTTCAGAAAACGTTCGATTTTGCCTTAGAACAGCAATAAGCTACGTAACCAATTTTTTTCAACGAAGGCGTATCGTAGTCGATTGCGTTGCGACGAACACATTGCGTAGCGATGGAATGAGCGACGTTTTGACCCCCTTGCTAAATATTGCCGGACGAGGAAAATCCTTAATGTGAATGTCCACGTTTTTATACGTTAGTTAATCGGCCTACGGTTCCGCGTCACCGTCGCACCCGTATTATTATATCGTCTTAAGGCTATGCGCGCGTAGGCGTTGTACTTTTTGACCGTTTTAATAACAGCAATATATAAATCAACGAGAACCGTCGTCATTTTTTTCGTTATTTGTACGGTGCCCCACAACTCTGGTCGGTTGTTTGAACAGAACCGACCCCGGTCGCGTTCCTTATCGCGTCGTTTCGTTTTAACAACTGCACACACACACACGCCTTCTACGCGCACTATACACCGAATCGTAAAGCGCGTACACTTAACTACGTCCCACGTTTTTATTATTTTATTTTTTTTTTACACCATATTTTTTTAACACGTGACGCACGTACACAATAATAACGTCCGCGGTGTGCAATAACGTTTGTATTTTATCGTGCACGTTTGCCGTGACGTATATTCGTTCGAACTTGTTAGTTTTATTTTTACTTTCGTCCGCGCCACCCGATTCGCCCGACGTTTCGACCGAATAAAAATTTTTTTTTCTTCTTTCTTTTCTCCCTTCAGATTCGAACCATAATAACACGGCCGGACGAAAGTAGACCGTTCCGGCGAATTGAATTAATTTTCGCACGCGAAAACCCACGACAAAAAAAAACCTTCTTCTCCACTCGCGGTTCCGTAAAAAGGGTCCTCGGCAATACGAGAAACGTCACGACCATAAACCGTCATCGCGATTCCCGTTACAATTTGTTTTAACAATCACGAGGATATGTCGTTTTCGGCGCAGTATACCTTCGATTCGTTCGTATTACGTATCGTATGACTTTATCGAATGTTACACGTTTCTTTATGTTTTCCAATGGAAAATAACTTAAACAGATTCCGGTTCGGTTACTCATTCGAATTTTACGCTCAGCATTTCGTGACGTCTTAAACTTTTTTGTCCGCCTAATGTTACCATGTGTTATTTACAATAATATACGACGGTGAACAGCGTATGTCAATCGGCAACTGCCACAGCTTCCGTCACTCGGTTTTCGATCAGTTAACACAACGGACGTTAAATATACATCATAATCGCACTAATAACCATCGATTATCATTATTTTGTCGGTTCATTAATACCGAATGTTCGTCCGATTATTGTGGAATAACTTCTGAAAGTCGAACTCGATACGATACTGGCCGACGGAATCAACCGAAGGCGCGTACACCGATAAGGAGCTTATCGAGTATTCAGTACATTTGTGCGTGATTTTCACGGTTACTCCACCGCGGCGATTTGAATAAAAATCAACACTTTACCGTCAAACCGCCTCTTCCGTGGCAACAAATGATCGGTAAATCGATACGTTTTCCCCCGCACACGCGTTATTTTAATATTTCAATTAATTTCGCCGCGTTCGATAAGAATCATGTCCCGTCACGGTTCAAAGGAGTTACCTAATTCGATTTTCGGTTTGGACCAAGAAGTCCGCAAATAAAAACGGGCCGTGTTTACATTGCTCGCACGTATATGTGATTTTTTTTCTTCCGCCATCACTTATATTTTTGACACACTTGTTATAAACGTTACAGTTATGTCGGCAATCGCCGCCGATCCATAACCTTGATAAACAAATTTGTTAACAGTGCGTAATACATATTTATATATAGTTTTTAGGGTACGTGCACAGCGTTCCACGTTTCCTGTACGTTTTTTTCCCACCAAATCGCACGTCGTCGTGAAAATAATTTAATCATCATCATATTAATATTATGTGTCAAAAACGTGTGGTTTTTTTTTCTTTCTTCTCGTTTTCTTATAAACTTATAAATTGTATAGACGAATGATAAATATTATTACAACCGATCGATCGATCGCGGTCATGAGAAATACAATCTAGATAAGACGGTGTCCACGTGTAACGTCCCGCGTCCGCCCTCGATCGACCATCAGCATGTCGCATATGGTCAGGGAGAGGGGTATGTATTCGCGAATTTCGGACGAAACTTTTGGCACCGAAACCCAACACACGGTCGTTTTATCGGCACGCCGTTGGTGACCTGAACCCGGGGAAGCGTTAAGATTTTCGCGCCACGATCCCGAACGTTTGCAGCCGGTGACGTACACGATCCGCAGTTGCATCAGTTCGCCCTCCGGCAACCGATTTAAACGTTTTACACGAAACGATTTGCGCGTTCCGGTGGCACTCGGGGTGGACTGGCCAGGGAGGCAAAGAGGCAATCGCCCCATGGGCCCTCGACAGTGTCATATCAATTACCCGTATACATAACGTAATATTAAAATATAATGGTAAAATACCAATCATTCACCATTAGAATATCCTAGTACGGACGGATTGAGCACAGTTAACTAAAAATATTTATTACTTAAAATACAAAATAATAATAGGTCTAGTAAACTCCCCCCGGGCCCCTCGATACCCAGTCCGCACTGAGCGGTACCCCCAGCACGCATACGTTACTAACGTTTCAAACGTCTCGAGGTACCGATTCTCGCGCGATTTCAAGTCCTTCGTTCACCTACGGCTCCCCGTGACCATTAGTTGTCCAGAAACGATTTACGAGCATTGAACGTTGTGCGAACTCGGGCGACAGGACGAAAACATTTCCGGATGAGTGTACTGCACTCGCCGTGTAATAAACGAACGCGTGTTGTACGTGTCGTACACGTAATGTGTAACATTGCACCGCGCATCGTGTAATGACGGTAAATTATACCATTAGCGGAGTTTCGTGGGTGTCCAGTAATCGTTTGGGTGTTTAATTCGTGTCCGAGAAAATTGAAGGGTAATCGCGAATGTAATTCTAGTGAAACGTATCCAGACCTCGTACCGGTCATCTTCCTCCTTCCCCAGCTGGAGTACGAAATCCTGCGTGATTATGATAATATCATCCGTGCAGCAGAATAATTATTATTACTTTTCGCGGTTTCCTCGGAGGAGGTTTTCGCTAACCAAAAAACATTATGGGACGATTGCAATCGACGTTTATTTTGGGTTTTTTTTTTTTTTGTCCCCGTACGGTCCGACTTTGTTTGAGTTGTGAATCATTAACGGTGTGCGTTCAGCTCAACCCCCACCCCCATTATTAACCTCACAGCTTTCTCACTACAATAACAGCTATACGTCTGACGTGAATTTTTAAATACTTAAAATTAGTAAAACGAAATGATGTTTAACTTCGGGGAAGTAAATTTATCTCCATCGCACCGGTCGGTTTCGATATTTTGTATAAAACAAATTTGATTTTGTTTCCTATTAGAAATGTTGGAAATTATTGAAAATGTTTAACTTTCAAAATTATTGTTGAAACTGCTTTGATCGATGCTAAGTATAATGGTAAATTATACCGAGACGGGTTTTTAAAGTTTCCGTACGAGATCACTTAAGTATCGATACTACATTCGTTTTGACGCAAAATGGATGTCATTGCAGTTTTCAATTTCCTCAAACACATTATACCGTATATGAATCTTGTTAATGGTGATATGCTACTTTCTGCTTCTCAGGTGTTGTACGTCGGTGACAGCTACGTGCCGGTCACCACTCAGCTCCGGTCCAGGCCCATATCGCCGGCCGACTCGACCGTACTCGACTGGAGACTACAAACCGTGGAAAGTTGGGATGGCCGGAGGCACGGCAACAACAAGACGCGAGTGCAACGTAAGTATACTGTTTCCGCATCAACTAGGTACCTGTCGGTGAATTTTCCGGCCGTCGAGCGAACACTTCATAACCCGTCGGAAAAGTGCGAGGTATGGTGTAGGAGGGCGATGGCTCTGAATGCGCGATACTCAATTGGTGTGCACGCCGAAACGGACGAATGGCGTTCATATGTATTTTCGAATTTTTGCGGGTCAGGGCCAATAACTTTTGCCACACCCATCCTTGAAACACCAGTCGATTGTAACATTAATAAACACATATCACGCGGTGCACAAAAACAAATGCAAATTAAATCAAATTCATTTTTTTTTTTTTTTTGTTTTTTTGTTTTTCGTAAATCGCGAATCCACTCAAAACGTGGCCATCTTGCGAGACTGTTCGTCCTGATCGGCTGTCGCATTCGTGTAAAACGTCGTAATAGGTGTTTGGTCCCACTGCACACGTTCACCGCGGTAACGGAGCGTCTTTCCGCCTTGACGTAACACTTAATATCGTTGCAACGGGTTACGAAACGTTCTGCGTGCGCGCGTAAAACGACGTTCGTTTATCGGCCCACGTGACTCACCACCACTCGGTGTTCGAATCTGGTCATGATCCGATCATATTTTTGGACTAGTGTACGAGTACCTAACAATCGAATCGATCCAATCGACAGTACAATTTAACATTGCTCGTTCAATAAACGCCGTTTAAGACATTTGACTACCTAAATGCCATCGTAAACGCGAAAACACGTCGAACAATCGGAGAAGGGTTGAACTCCTGGAGTACGTCCTTGGGTCGTAAGCGGGTCGAACCTTCCGAAATAGTACCTTCGTCGCCGTCGTTGCGATACCGTTCGCGGCCGACCGTCGGACGCGTACGCCTTGCGCGTTTCCGCTGCGAACTTGAGACCGGTTTTCCAATCGCGCGTTATTATCGCGTAACGCGCACGTACGTAACGTTACGCATGCCCGCAGAGAGGCCATCGCGATAAGTACTCGGCGAGCGTACGATCCTGTGGCCGCAGGCTCGGACGATACAACGATCGTTATCGTGTCCATCAGTAGCACTTTCACGTTTTTTTTTCGACTTTTCTTTCACTTTCGAGCGCCGACAAAGGGTTGCCGATTTCCGGCGGAAACGCGGCTCGTGGTTTTGTTCGACGAATCGCGTAGAAAACGCTGCTGGTTAGGTTAGGATGCGGTGTGCGCGGAGAATTTTTCCGTTGCATAGGGTTTCGTTTCGGCGCACACAACGTCCCGTACGATCCCGTGCGGACCGATAACGCGAAAAGGGGGTTCGACGGGTCCGACCGTGATCGATCTCTTCGCGTTCTTCTACGTTCCGTAGTGTACACGTCTTTCGACGCCCGCGTATTGTGTGCACTTTAATGATACGGGTAAATCTTGAAATCCGAACGAATTTTGAAATCAAAACGTACGCGACAGAACGGTCCGATGCGATCCTTCAGATCGTTGACATTGAAGTAAGCGGTATAAAAATATACGAATCGTCGACGGAAAAACATTTTTAAAAAAAAATTTTAATAAATGATAAGTAAAATCAAAGCACGTAAATGATTTTAATTTTTTTTCTTATACATCAAACGGAAAATTGAACGACGGCGAATTTTTTTTTCTCCCATGCCGAACGCGCAACTCCGTCTGGTACATTTAATATCTTATGTTCGTCGCGTATCATATATTATTGTTATTATTATTATACAGTTTACACGAAACGAGAAGAATAAGAAGAAAAAAAAAAATCACCGGTTCGATTCAGTTATTCTACGCGTTATTAACCGCAAAATCACCATGACTGCTCGATAAAATTTCCCTTCGACTACGGTATACCATTACACCTGTGTAGACATACAGCGTATAACAATTTTACGTATGAATTCCACTGGCTCCGCTGCCGTAATCTTTTCAAGTTGTACGGATCAACAAAACATTTATCTACGTATGGTCTACGTAGGCCCGTCGTTAGATATTTTTCGTCCTAGAGCGAAAAATCGCATTGTCGCTGTTCACTGAAGACGTAAAAAATCGAAATAACATAAGCTGCAATCGTTCGCGGTGAACCAGCGGAGCTAAGACGATAACAACTATTAATAATATAATATAATTGTCGTCCGTTGTCGATGTTGATCTAATTTTGCCGCTTCGATTTCTTTAGAGCCGAATGCCGCCCGAAAGCGTCGTATGATCGCGCCTTAATGACATCACTAAGTAATTATTTACGTACGATTATAAGGAAAAAATTTATTCTACACACTTTTTATTTTGATTTCACTCGTATTCCTGTGAAAACACGCAATTTATCCAACGAAAAATACATTATTAAACATTCAATCGGTTTTACGCATTTAAACATCTTCTTTTCACACATTAAACATTGTACTAAAACTGTCTGTTACGCTGGCGAGTTATATAAATCATTCATTGCGTTGTTTTTCGAGCTTCACGAGATAAGTGAAAAACCTTTACTTTTCGTTCGATTTGAACGGCACATTTTGAACTCGTACCCAACCACGGACTCCTTGTTGGGAACCACTGGTATACATTACCTGTGACGTTACGCAGCAAAACAGTTTTTGCGTCTCCGAATGCAGAAGGATCACTGATTACTACAGATTAGCTCGTCGAATACATGTAAATGCATGTATATGAATGTACGTGTGCAAATGTAAAACTGCACGTGTAATTGTATGTTCAATGTTTGAAATTCCCGTATAAAATTCGTCGTGCCGGCATGCTTTGCGCCGGTTTTCAGTACATTATTGTCGTTTCTACTGTAGCCGCTGCTGTGTTTGCGACTGCGGAAAGGAAACAAAAGAACTTGGGACCGACCACCGCATTAGATAATCATTACAGCGACGTTGACGAGTTAATTCCCCAGTCACGTGCGTTGTAAAAAATGAAATATAAAGAACAATTCTACGCACACGCGCGTACACGCATGTACGAGTATATTAACATTGCCCTTATCGATGATGCACAGTCGGTTTACTCGGTTTTTATTTGTAGTAATAAGCTGCTTACTTCGTACGTTCGTTAATACGTGTCGGGTCGAGAAACGAAGACGGAGAAAAAAGATTAGCGCTCTTAGGGTAAATATACGGCGTATAAATTGTGCGCACATCCACGCCGTCAGCAGCCGTCTCGCGGCGGTTCTTGCAACGTTTAGCAGCAGTAGTAGTAGTAGTAGTACGACCCGTCGTGTATTCTTTACCAGCGATTGATCCGTTACGGGAGGGAGAAAGAATAAAAGAACACGAATGAACATGTTATACACACATTTATTATATTCCTGCATCGAAAATCGGCGGATTTCGGTACGTTCTGCGTTTGACAGCTTTATGTCACCGAAACGTTCCGACGCACGCGCAATACTACACATTGTACGTACATTGTATAGGGACGTCGTGCAAACGAGTAGAAGACGCCGATGACAATAATATCAACAATAATAGTAATAATAATAATTATAATATTGACAGCGCCACCACGCGCGTGTGTGTGTGTGTGTGTGTGTGTGTGTGTGTGTGTGTGTGTGTGCAACGTGTGTGCATAACGCGTATAACATCTATTATTATTCATTGTGTGTAAAATGTATCGCGTCATCGTAATACGTGCGCGTGTGCGTGCATATATATGCATCGTCATCGTCACCGAAATGCATGTTTAATTTTCGCGTAAAACGTCCGTCGTTTTCAATATTTGTGAACCGATTTCGACGAAACGCGCTCGGCGGCGGCGGCTTCGGGGAACGGTGGAAGTGGCGGGCAAGGTGGGACCGTGAAATTCGTACTCGTTTATTAACAGTCCGCTATTGAAAGGAATTAATGGACCATAAAGTATTATTTTTAAGTCTCCCACGGGGTCCACAACCGCAATTTGTTATTATTCGCCGTCGCAGCCGTCGCGCGGTCAACGGGTACGTTACGGCGCGGAATGTACGCGCGCGCGTACGATATCACAACGTCTCCTGGCGCGCGTATCCCTGATAAATACGTTCGTACCGTACGCGAGACGGGTCATTTCGGACCGCTTCTTCGGTCCCGGTCTTCAACCGGTTTGGTCACCGGTCATCAGTTTACCGAACGGGATAAATCCGCTCCATCTCAACGATAAAAGAAAAAACAAACGCGTTTCATCGATAAAAGCTAAATTATTGTTCGCTCAAATTTTATTGATCGGAAACAATTTGAAAATTATTTACGAAAACGCTGGGCCTGTTAATCGGAGCTAAGCGCGGCGAAATCCCCGTTCGCCCTGCCCCGATAACGCGTGCACTGCGATTATTTGAAAACCCGATATCGAAAATAGTACAATAAAAATGTGTATTCATTTACAATATTAACATACGCGTAAATTTAGGAAATCGATATCATGTTAATTTACATATAATACGCATAACATGATTATTATTGTAACGTTTCGACCAAACGGACATCCTAAATTCGATCAGGCATTCGGGACAGGTTCGTTGTGTATAACTTCTGGAAAGAGTGTACATTTTTTTTTAATCGATTCGATTTTTTATACCTTATCGCTATTCAATTTCATACTTGTAGTACGTACCTATATACATATTTCTGTTTATCGTGTGTTATGGAATGATGAGAATGAAAAAAAAAAACGTAATCAATTAAACACAAATCGCGATCTAAATGTTTTTTTTCCCGCCATCTCGCTAATTGATATCACGTCCGCAAAAATTTCTGTTGTCCTCAATTCGGTTTCCGCTCGAGTATTCCGAGAACAGCAGTCGGCGCACACGATGGAACACAATGCGTTATTGTTATTATTATTAACGTTACGATTATTGTTGCAATGATTTTGAGACGAAAAACGCACGTGTCCGGTACGGCCAACGGTTTATTTCGTGAGAAATACTTAAATCATAATAATGTACATAAAACATACTATATTACACGATAACGTACGACGCGTAGTGGTGATTCGCAGCGAAATCATTGCTGTAAGTTCGCGTCCGTTCGAGATGTTTTC